CCAAATTTGCACGTGAGTTGTCTTAAGCTTCTCCTAATGACTTGTTTCGAAAGAGCTAATCGAACACCAAACTTATTTCGATATGCTCACTGGGCCACATGTGGACAACGAGAGACTTCAAAGTGGGTCGCCAGAAATTTCCACTTGTAATACATCACTATATCCGCATCCGCTCAGGATAAAACATGCACTGGAGAAAAGGTCAATGAGTTTTCTTCACGTTATAATTACTTTGCAAATATCTCTTTCTGGATTCTGGTAGGTCAAGAAATATTTTGGACGTCGGCTAGTGGGTCGCGATTCAGAGAGGTCTGGAAACCAGTGGCTTAGACAACTTACGTGCAAGTGGAAATTTGAATGATGCCCAGGACGACCACGTAGTGTTCGAATTCAAGAGATAACAGAGACATGCCAACTTGGCAAGAAATTCGTAGGCAAAAATCAAGTTGGGTTGCATTTCCCGTCGGTGTAAGAAGAACAAGAACTCGTACTAAAGCTTGTACAAGCTGTACCTTGTAAGGAAACTGGTGTAAATCCTTGATAACATGCGCTTTAAGGACGACTTGGATATTCACCAACGATCAGAATGCCGATATTCTCATCTCCTGTGACAGGCATCGGAGTAGTTTCTGTGGACTCTGTGTATTGGACTGTCTAACAGGTAACCAAATTTGCACGTGAGTTGTCTTAAGCTTCTCCTAATGACTTGTTTCGAAAGAGCTAATCGAACACCAAACTTATTTCGATATGCTCACTGGGCCACATGTGGACCTCAATACGGTGACTATAGGATGTGAGGGGGAGGAGTCAGGAGGAGGAGTCACCTCCTCCCCTCCACCTCCCACCTCCGAGAGACTTCCCTCGAACCTGGACAGAGGAAAAAATCTCGGCCGCCAATAGAATGAGGGACTGACTGTCATGCTAGTTTGGTGTGTATATACGTGTGGATGTGATCCGTCCTTCTTGCCACCCGGGTGGACCTTTCTACTGGTCAGTAGTCTCTCATTGTGAGATATAAATTTTATTCCTGTTGTTGAATCATCTCGTATTTAATTACGGATCTCACCGGCCCTTCAACAGAAGTCAGATTAAAGTTAGCATCGTCGGTAACGGTTAAGCGCGTACCCCCTAGAGAAATTGCACTCCCCCAGTCTTCAATGTTGTTGGATGAATTTGTTTGGAAACATGCCACATACATTGGGATTCCTTTTAAAATAATATACGCCAGGGGTGTCAAAAATAAGGTTCGCGTGCTGGATCCGGCCCGCTCTCTATTCCCTTAAATTTCAGTATGGATTTCTGCGATGTTGCTGCGATGTAGGCCAGCCCCAAATTCTATCATCGACCAATCACATTGCTTGCAGATTGCTCCGTGTGCCCCCGGGGTCTCTTCTGCGACGGTGAAGCAACAAAAAGTTGGATCGTGTGCGGCGGCTTTAGGAATGCGGCCCGCCGCCCGATTTGAGTCTGACACCCATGACCTAACCTACACCATACGAGGTACATCTAACCTAACCTGGTCCAACTTTAGGGGCAACACAATATCCCTAGGGGGTACGCACTTAATCATAACCGCATCGCCCACATACGGACATGCCAGGAACGCCCATACATAATTGCAGCTCGTTCTTGTACAGACCACCGATTCATAATGAAACCTCTATGTCTAGACCTCAAGATGCACCAGGAACAGCACTTCTACCTGTGACATAAAAAGAGATAGCTTAATTTAAAATAAGGACGGAAATTCTGGGACACCCTATACTATAATTATTTTGCACAAGAGAGTACGCGATTTGAAAACCCCTTCTTTCATCAAAAACCAGTCTTTCTGTATCATGATAGTATGATCTTGAGATGTTTCTTCAAAATATTGATACAATCTGCTGTTATTTGAGTTATAGTGATTTGAAAATGTTGGCATTATGAACGCATTTCTTGCATACCATGTACCACAAAGTAAAAATAATCCAAATTTTTCGCAGGGGACATGTTCGCTTTTCGCGGGCAACATAACAGGCAGTAGAGAAGCCCTCGGGTAGAAGCTTTATTGCCCTAAAGTCAATTTTATGCAAATCCAACCCTCGTCAGAAGGGACAAAGTGTAGAGGGAAAGTGATGCTTTGGGACTGTGCACGGAAATCCGACCCATTGTTGTACAATTCTTGAACTGTGGAATTTAGGCTTTATTTTATTTCATATTCCCCGGCTCTGAGAGGTTTCCCGGTTTCTATGCACTGTTCCTAGTAGTTAAGGGATCCCAGATAT